CACTTGCTTCAGAGGAAATGCCACACGTGGAAGAAAGGTTCAGCGGATGACAATTTGGTTACATATGCCTGGAAACAGTACAAAGTCACCACTGAAAGATGTGAGCTGTGTGTCAGGAGAGCCTCCCTATCACTTCACCTACTCTCACTGGGACAGTCCTGGTGAGCAAACAAAGGCAGAAGCTGTTTTTGCAGCTTATTTTTACAAGCCCAGACATACTTAGATGTCTACTTCTGTCAAAGCAAGCAAGAACAACTTGATCCTTATCCTCTCCTCTCTGACCTCATGGCTTGACACAGGCAGTAAGAGTGGAGTATCATCCAAAAGCTAGGGTGTGTGTCTATGGTCTTGAGGACCTTAGGCATACCCATTAGTGACACCCTGTGTATGTAGGAGTGAAAGAAATCAACCCTGCATCACTTTGAGAAATCAATGATTTTAAGTAAATATGAAGAGGCAAAAGAGTTAATTCTGTAAGAGAACCAGAGAATCAGACCAATTTGAATCCCAGCATCCTACCTATAAATCACAACCTCCTAGTGTCTTGTTCCTCATTGCAGTATGGACATGATAATAGACTTCACGGCATAGGCGTATTGTCAAGTTCAATTGAGACAAGGTACTAAAAATGCTGATGCCAATGTCATGCTAGAAATAAAGGATTGGTAGTCATTTACTTTTTTGATGAAATATTTCCTGGAAATATTTCTTTTGGTTAGCAAATATTTGTTGAGAATTCTCTGTGAGTGCTGTGCCTGGATATTATAGACCTATTTTTTAAAAAGTCCAATAGGGACAGAGGTCACTGACATGTGGAGATGGTAGGTCTCTGTAGGAAGAAGCTGTTGTGTCAGGGGTCTAGAGTTGAGCTGTGTGGGAGTAAACATGAGGCTCCTACTCACTGATTCTGTGATTTTGATTCAAGTCAGTTAACCTCTCTGGACCTCAGTTTCATTTTCAATAAAATGAGCATGGTATTGAAACCTGTTTTATAAAATGTTATGAGAATTTAAAAAAAGAAATGTAATTAAAATTTTAGTAGTGCTTGACACATAGAAAGTGTTCAACAATATACTATTACAAATCTCATAGTCTGCTTTTCTTTTTTATGCACATGTAAAACACCCATGATTTTTATACTATAGCAGAACCAACAGAACTGTGACTGCCTAAAATACCCTTCCCTTTTCCTTACACTTAACTTTATGATCCCCTATTAGTCCTATAGGAGCCATCCAAGACCCATTCAAAGCCAGGTAAGTGTCTCTTCTGTGTGTCCCTGTGGCATTACATGCTTGCCACAGCAATGAGGGGTTTTGGAGAGTGCAATGCAATGTGATTTTCTGTCAATTTGTCTGTCCCTGCTTCATGCATCACCACCTCTCCTGCCTCAGAAGAGCAAGGTCTGCATCTTGGTTTTCATTATTTATTGAGAACTTAACATTTTGCTTGACATACTATTCAATATATATGTGCTAAATGGAAGGAAGGAAGGAAGGAAGGGAGGGAGGGAGGGA